AAATTTTGAGAACTCCAAATAGTTTGATGTCGTCTCAAGAACACTATGTATATAAGATACTTAGAAAGTTTAATCATTTTGATCATAAGCTTAATTCTACACCTTATGATACTAGCATTAAACTAAAGAAAAATAAAGGTGATCCTATGTGTCAAAAAAATTATGCACAAATAATTGGAAGCTTAATATATCTTATGAATTGTACACGTCTTGATATTGCATATGTTGTTGATAGGTTAAGTAGATACACATATAACTCCAATAAAGAACATTGGAATACTATATCTAGATTGTTGAAATATTTGAAAGGGACTGCTAATTATAGTTTATCATATAGTGGATTTCCTGTTGTATTAAAAGGATATAGCGATGTTAACTGAATTTTTGATTCAGATGAGATGAGATCCACAAGAGGTTATGTATTCACTCTTGGTGGGGGTGTAGTGTCTTGGAAATCTTCCAAGCAGACGTATACAGCTCAGTCAACTATGGAGTCCGAGTTTATTGCCTTAGAGAAGGCTGGCACTGAGGCTGAGTGGTTGAGAAACCTCTTAGCGGATATCCCTTTATGGATAAGACCAGTTTCGTCTGTGTCTATGCATTGTGATTGTCAAGCTGCAATAGCAAAAGCAAAGAATAAGACCTATAATGGTAAAAATAGGCATATACGCTTAATGCATAATATTGTAAGACAACTGTTTAATGATGAGATAATATCCCTAGATTTTGTGAGGTCAAAGATGAATTTGGCTGATCCTCTGACAAAACCACTAGGAAGAAAACTAGTGAGTGAGACATCGAGTGGGATGAGACTTATGCCTATACAAAAATCGCAAATGATGGTAACCCAACTTACGTGAATAGAGATCCCAGGAAGTAAGTTCATAAGGGTAATAACAAGTCTTTGAGTGATTTGTAACACTATCATAATTTAATTAATATTTAAAGTTCATCCTTATGGTGTAGATAGTGAATATACTGCAATGTATAAGGTTGACTTTATCTCTTAATGGATCAATAGCCTAGATTAGGTAGTGTATCTAATTGCAGTATATACTTGATGGATTCACCTATATAAATGTGGGAGTGGGGCCGCTTCCTATCAGAGTTTGGGCTGGTTCTCTAGAGCATTTATAAATATCCAGGTAGGGTGCATGGCCTATTCGCACCAACCAGCGATGAACAAACTCAGATTAGAGGGTCTAATGTGGGTGATGAGTATAGTCAGTTTACACTAAAGAAATCTAGTTCATAGAAATTTTATATTTCACTGGACTTCTTTAAACTCTGCTTTATTTTCCTTAAGTGATGGTTCATAGTCCAAAAGACACCACCACAATGCATTAGATTTTTGTGTTCTCAAATCAAAGTTGTTGTTTTATATATACGTTATATTTTGAAATATATGGGAGATTATTGTATTTAACATATATATATTTTAAAATATAATATATATTTAATTATTTCTGACATATATATGTGTATAGAAATATAAATTAAAAATTACTTTTATACCTATTTGATGATTTGAACGGTACACGTTATGACAATTTGTCTTATTACTTACATTACGTTAATTTATTATATTACACCGAAATTATATTTTCAAAATCTTTGATCGTTGGTTAATAACCGTTGAATTTGCAATTGACCGTTGAACCATTGGATGCTAACCATTGCATCATTTGTCTTATTACTTATATTACGTTAATTTATTATATTACACCGAAATTATATTTTCAAAATCTTTGATCGTTGGTTAATAACGTTGAATTTGCAATTGACCGTTGAACCATTGGATGCTAACCATTGCATCCTTCTGCTATGTAAATGCAACATTTCAATTGCTATGTACAGCATATGACTGCTTGTGTACGAATAGAAGAAAGAAAAGAAAAAAGCCTACTGTTCAGACTTGAAAAAGCCAACTGTTCAGATCATAGTGTACGGAAAGGAAAAAAAAATGCAAAGTAAAAAAACCAAAATTTGATTCTAATATACTACTATTTGAGATCTTGGTATTGATTTGGAATGATCAAGAATTGTTTAAGACACCTCTACATTTACGAGTACACGCTTGTGGAGAAGCGATAGTTGAATTTTGAAAGATAGGACATCATAACTTGTTACACCGGATTTCATACTCAGAGGAGCGAAAATCTGTTCTTAAAGACAGTGACTATACGTTTCTATCGATAAATTTTTTTATCTTTTTATTATCTGATTTTTAGTATTCTTGAATTGATATTTTCACAACATTGGGTGGTGTGGAGGTGGAGATGGAGGTGGAGGTGGAGGCGGAGGTGAAGGGGAACATGGTGTTATGTAGTGTGTTGGTGTTGGGTGAACATATGTAATTTTCTTTTTTTATCTTTTCTGTTTACTTATTTTTTACAAATAGAATTTGTATCTCAAAAATAAGTATACGATAAATAATCTATATGATGGAAGGTATAGTGGTACTTCATGTTGCAACCATTGTTGTTCATCAATTTAGTTCGGTTGAAACTTGAAGAAAACAAATTGCAGCATTTGAAATTACAAGGAATTGATTACAACTGGAAGCATAGTTGAAGAGGAACAAATTTTATATATATAGGTAAATACCACACTATCTAAATTACAATCACAATCTTATGTATTTAAATTTTCAAATTACCTTCTAACATCTCTTTTAATTTTCTATTATCTTTGTATAAATATCAATATCTATCTTAAGTGAAAAACTTTTGATTCACTATTTTATCTTTATAAAAAATTTTAAATATCACACTATCTTTTCATAGTTAAATATCTAAATTACAATCACAACCTTATGTATTTAAATTATCAAATTATCTTCTAACATCTCTTTTAATTCTTTATTATTTTGTATAAATATTAATATCTATGAAAATTTTTAATCCACTACGCAACTCTTAAAAAAATATATGCATCATTATAGTTTTCAACAACATGTGCAAAAAGTCTATCAAAAGATCATTATTCTTTTTAAATAAGAAAATAACATTATATATATATATATATATATATATATATATATATATATATATATATATATATATATATATATATATATATATATATTCTATCTACACTACTAATAATCTATACTACTAATAAAAATATCTTATAATGAAAAACTTTTGATTCACTATTGTATTCTTATGAAGACTTTTAAATATCACACTATCCTTATGTAGTTAAAGATCTAAATTACCATCATATAGTTATGTGTTTAAATCTCCAAATTACTTCTAGCATTTCTTTTAATTCTTTATTCGTTATGTATATATATCACGATCTATGAAATTTTTTAATTAACTATGTTACCTTTAAAAAAATATATGCATCAGTATAGTTTTCAAAGATAGCATTAAGCTTATATATGTTTATTTTTTTTATCTAAAATTTTAGCTATTTCATTTTTAAGATGAAAAAATAATCTTTTATATATATTTTTTAAAATAATTTATGTTAAATCAACATAATTCTTTCTTCACAATAAATTTTTTATTTTTTATTAAGAGTTTATATACAAAAATTATAGTGTATTTTTAAGTAAAACTTGAATTTTATAATTTTAATATTCTTTTAAAATATATATTTTAGAGTAGTATATTATATTTTAGGGTTAATAGCACTTTTAGTCCCTAAAATATACATGTTTATCAGTTTGGTGCTCATTGTATCAATTTTGTCAATTTTGTCTCTAAAGTAAGTTAGTGACTTAAATAATCTATACACAGACAATCTGTTAAGTTTTTAACATAAGGGATCACACGTTGATCATGTGATACTATCTGACAGAATTATATGTGGTCGCTTTCATTAAAAAATTTAATGAATTGTCTAGTTAGAAATCATTTAAATAAAAATTGAATATTTTATGGACTAAATTGATAAAATTCATATATTAAGGACCAAATTGACAAAAAAAAATACATTCTTTAGAGACCAAAAGTGTTATTAATCCTATATTTTATCTCTATGGACCTAAGAATATTGAAAATTAATGTTATTTTATTCAATGCATTATAAGTTGAAACATAATCAAATGAATTATTTTTATTTTTTTACTTAAAGTTAGAACAAATCGCTGGGAACAGAAAATATTTTTCAAGTTTTATAGTATAATACAAGCAATAAAAATATAATTTTGATAAACTTGAAATGATATTTAACGTAGATACAGATATACCTAATAATTTTTTATTAATAAAATATAGAGATTATCACTTCTCTATTTTGTAAACAAAATGCCTATTAGAATCAGACTCAATGAACATCCTATATAAGCCCATTGGGTAACCTGACTGGAAAATTCAGGACTGAAGTATTTGGACGGGTTGTCCGGACCCGCCATGGCCCATTGATTGTCCACCTCACCTGACTTAATATTAAATTAAATATAATTTCGATACATTTGGTTGAAAATGTTATGTTTTTAAGATGAATCACTAATTGAATCAAAATTCTATTAATTTAAAGTATTTTAAGATATTTTAGCATGTTTTTACCCATATTTTGATTATGTACTTGACCTGATTTATTATTAAATAAAAATAAAAATTTTGTTTTGAAAGGCCGATATAGTTGAAAACTTTTTTATTTAAAAAAATCGAAATGAATTGATAATTGAATCAAAATTTATTAAAATATTTTGATATATTTCTATCAATGTTTTGATGTGTTCCAATAATATTTTGAATTTTGAATTCAAAATTTGATAATTTTTTAGAGTAAAATTATAAAAAAGTTATCTTTCATAAATATTTTAATTCTGATATTAATGATATATTTTTTAATTCATTAAAAAATTAATTGAAATATTTCCATTTTCCGCCGACTTTTGCTTGATTTGTCAAACAGACCCTAAAACTTTGTTTGGCTTTTAAGTCTAGTCCTAGGTATAGAACACGCAATAGCCTTCTACTTTGGTTCTCCTACTGTGCTTTTAGCTGACAAAACCAGACGCTAGAGGGAGAGTAGGAGAGATAATGGCAGTACCAGGAAGACGCAACGGTTTGATGAACGATGAGGAGGAAGAAGACGCCCTATTCGAAGACGTAGAAGAAGGAGTGTTGCTCGAACCGGAGTCCGACATTCCTCCTCACCTCCGCGACCTTGCCGCCGCCGCCGAACTCGGCGACGTCGACGCCCTCCGCCAAGCTCTAGGTACGCTATATATGTATACACGATCACCTTTAATTAATTTCTTTTATTTGTGTTCTATCACACGTTTGTACTGTCCGTTTTGGTTTTTAATTTTTCAACCAAAACTTGGTTTATTATAAGATAGGGATGTGTTTTCTGGTATATCATATCTTTGGAATTAGAGGATTTAGGGCAAGCTCTGGTGGATAAGTGGGTTTTAGCACTTGAAGTTTATTAGTCTCTGTGCTTTTAATTTGGAATTGTGACTCTAAAACCGCTATTGAATTTGAAAATTATGGGGGGTCAAATGGTATTCTTGGCATTGTTTTTCGTTTTCCAGGTTCAAAGACTGCCCATACATAGCTGTTATTTACAGTTTTTTATTTATTTTCAATGTTTTTTCGAGTGACTTGCTAGAGAAATATGATGATGCTATTCCTATAAATGTTGGTCTATTTATTTCGATAACCCCCCCCCCCCCTAGAGAGAGTTCCTGAGGTGGATATGGTTAAATAGTGGAGACTCTCCGCTAGAGATCCCTAGAAGCCTAATTGCGCATTCACACGGTCGTGACAGGAAGAAAATGTGCACCAATCAATCTACGTTCTGGAATTTATTTGCAACCATAGTCTATGCGGTGATTGAAACATAGTATTCAAATTATGTGTGATAGCCATGTATGTCATATAGCATGTCAGAATTGGATATTCATGTCCTACATCCTTTGAATTTATATGGGAGAAATGCTGCTTGTCATTAGTAGAATTAAGCTAAAGGGGAAGTCTACCTTGTGCAATACCACTCTTAGTCAATTCTTAATCAGGCAAAAACGTTGGGCATTGGAGTTGAAATCTTATTGTAGGAGTTAGTAAATTTTGAGGGTGTATGCTACAATAATATTCTTGGGGCTTCCCAGGGAATGAAATCCTTTGTTTAACAGGACCCGAGTTCAGTCCATTCTACATGTAATAGCATATATTATTGGTCTTATTTATTTAGTTTGTGATGCATCTCTCTCCCTATTTGAAGCAGGAAAATAGGTTTAGAATGTTTGACTTTTCAAAATTTGAAATGTAAGTTGAGTAACAATGGATCTGGTCAATTTGGGAATTAAACCTCAATACTGATGTTATTCCCTCTGAAATAATCACTAAAGGAGCACATGTTTGTTGTGTGTTGGAGCTACTCTTGTTGAGGTCTACTGGAGCAACTGTGATTTAGCCTTGCAATAATCTGACTCTCTCTAGCAATTCATTTTAGTCCAGCTATGGTTTTCTATAAATCATGAACTGTGTCGTGAGAAGTTAGACCCAGCTCAGTTGGCTCTCAAATAATGGTATCAAGCAAACCAGACCCCCACGTAAGTTTGATAATTTGCATTTTGTGGCATGATATATTTTTTTTATTCTCATGGATAACTACCTAACTTGTTCTTTAGTTGAACAGAAATAATGATGTTGACTTGAGTAGAAAAATAATTTGGCGTTTGATGTTGTACAATCTGTTTTGGGGGATTTGTCATGTCTAACGCCTAGTGCCAATGTCAAAATCCATGTGTCTTCAAATTGTTGGCTTTCGAACTTCTTTGTATTTGGTTTTATCACCTGTTGTAGGAAGGGATTTGACCATATCACTCAGAAGGCAATGATGAGATTATATTGCATTTACTTTTTTAATGGGTTCCTAAGTGGTTTTATTACCTGTAGTGTAGATCATCTTGTTTTTTGGTGTATAATGATTTGGATATCTGAAAGAGAGACAAATCTTTGAACTTTACTTGGCAACTGAATTTATAGCAAATTTGACTAAAACAGGATTGCTTGTTCTCAATGACAATCTAACGAACATTGCCATCACCACTATCATTACCTTTGAAATTGTTTATATCTTTGTTTTCATGACTACCACATCTGAAGGGAGAAAATATATGCAATGAGTATTCCTGTCACCCTTGTACTAATGATTTCCCTATTTAATGGACAACTACAGATAATCTGAATGGCAGTATTGATGAACCAGTGGAAGATGGGGACACTGCTCTTCATCTGACCTGTCTCTATGGCTATCTTCCTTGCGTACAGGTCAGTTACCTTTGAATTGTTTATTTGACTTAATAACTACTACTACTTTTGTGTCATCGATGTAATCTCCATCTTTATTGATTTAGTGTTATTAGTTTTACTATTGAACATAAAACTGGAACTATGCCGTGTTATTATGGAATTTTTATTGCATGTAGCTATTGTTGGAAAGGGGAGCTTGCTTGGAGGCTAAGGATGAAGAAGGGGGAATTCCTCTGCATGATGCTTGTGCAGGAGGTAGGCTATGACTTTCACAAACTACCTAGTACCTACCACTTGCATCTTTTTGTAAAATTTTTATTAATTTGTGATTTTGTCGATGATTATCTGCAGGATTTACGGAGATAGTCCAACTTCTAATCAATAGCGCTAATGATCCCGTGTGTGTAAAGAGAATGCTTGAATCTGTTGATGCAGAAGGTGATACGGTCAGTAGTTTTCTGCTCATAGAGACTTTTCAGTTTTGTTAAGTCTGAAAGGTCCCAATATTGGGTTAGCTGGTAAAAACCTTATTAAAGCAATTGGCCTTTGGTTAGCTACTGGAATCTTTCCAGTTGTCCTTATGTTGATTGCCCTTAAACCCGAACACCCTTCCCTGAGCTCTTTGTGGCTACCCTCTGATCATCATTTTGATATATTTCTTGGGGGTATTTGTGTAGCCTCTTCATCATGCAGCAAGAGGTGAACATCTGGATATTATTCAATTGTTGCTGGCCTCTGGTTCTTCTCCTACTAAGACAAATATTTATGGGAAGGTTAGCATTTCAAGAAGTTGCTTTTCTTTCTTTCCTTTCACATAGGAATCCTAAACCATTCTTCTTGCAGATCCCGTGTGAGCTTGCTGATCCGGGGACAGAAGCTTGGAGAATTTTGGAAGAGGTTGCTGGTATTGTGGCAATCCATTAGTCTCACTTGCAAGAAATGTTAAATTTTATTTTTAGCTATGGCCTCTGTTTCTGCTGGCCTTTCTGGTATAGGTGGTAAGACATAATTATTTATGAATGTTCATCAATTTTGGTTGTCAAATGCTTTCAGAAGTCCATGTTCAAGATAATTTGGGGAATTTGAATATGCAATGGAGTGAATACACTATCAGGTAATAATATATCTGGGCAGTACCATGAATCTGCATACGAGTTTTTTTTTTGGATGTTCACGCACAAGGAAATCTGCATACGAGTTTGCATGTAAGAAAGTGGACTTTTTAGTGATCTATGAATGGCTAAGCCATGGCATTGCATTCTGATGGTGGTGAGTCCATTGGGAAAAAAAAGCTACACTCGATCTAAGATCATGCCCCGGGTTTGAGAGTTCCTGAAGCATCGGACAATTGTATATGCAAATTGCTTAAGATACTATTCAATCTAGCTCTGGTTGTTGCAACGGTGATACTTTGTTATCTTGCTTCGTCAATCAGAAAATGTGGATATCATTGAGTAAAGTAATGTTAATCAAACTAATTATGAAAGAATTGCGATAACTAGTAATGTTAATTATGTGTAACTAGACTGAACGCATGTTCCCCCCCCCCCCCCCCCCCATCCTCTTTCCCAACCAAACAATAAAAAAAACCCAAGAAAAAGAATTAAAAAGGATAGAAATTCGGTTGTTTTCAAATTTAAATTTTCAATTCTATTACAAACAATTAGAGGAAATGAAAAAAAAAACAAGGAAAATGTACATTGAGACCAAATAGCAGTCGAATAGGGATTAAGATTTCTTCTAGTAAATTTTTCCTCCAATAGACACTTGACCAATATTACCACATTTTCACTATTTTATCAATTAATCACAACTCATTCAATTTTTTTTAAAAAAAATCAATTTCAAGCCCATATAAATTTTAATAATTCTAGAACTACCTATATTATGTGATGAAAGAAGAAGTCTAGAAGGGTGAAAAGAAACGAGTCAGAGCAAGACGGTTTATAAATTTCGTGCATCGCAAGGGATGATTGTTAGTACTTATATAAAACAAAGGGAAAATTTCAGTTACACCTCTTTTAGTTCATTATATTTTCAAAGACACTCACTCTATTTTTTGAATCTTCACTGATATCCCTGTCAGATGAAAGGTATTAACAAGAATGCAATTTTATTAAATTACTCATGATATATTTGAGACAAGATTTTATCCACACCTTCGCTAGATAAATATATATTTAAGAAAAATACTATGTAACTCAAATTTTCAACCCAAATTTGTATCTCAAATGAAGGGGAATCATTGGAAGAGTGAGTCCCATAAACTTTTTTAAATGGAACCCACTGATCCAATGGTCCCCTTTCAGTTGGGATACAAATTTGGGTTACATTGCATTGCTCTATTTTCAATGAGACCCCTTCTATTTTCTAAATATTTTTAACATATTAAAATTTGGGCCAACCTAATTAAAATTCATTTTTTACGTATTAAAATTTGAGCCGATTAAAATTCATTTCTAATCGGCTCGAATCAAATTTAATCAACTCCTATTTTAATTGGCACGAATTTTAATAAATAAAAAAATATAAATTTTAATCGATTCAAAACAAATTTTAATTGGCGCTAACAGCTCAAGTAGAGCTCAAATCTGCTAGAATTTGAATTCCTAAAAAAGAAATTTTTATAGGCCCGAATTTGAATATGTAAAAAAAAATAAAATTTAATGAGCTCGAATCAAATTTTAATATGAAAAAAAAAATTAATTAGTTTAAATTTTAATATATAAAAAATAAATTTTAATCGACTTGAATTGTATATAAAAAGATTGTTTGAAGTTTATGTAAGGACAATTTTGGTATTTAAATGAATTTCTTTTTGTTAAAAATGGTGATTTAACAATAAGGGGTGTCAGTGATGTTTTAAATAACAAATGGAGTATCCTTGAAGTTATATTAAAGTATAAAAAGGTGTGACTGAATTTTTTTCTAAAACAAACAATTTAGAGGTAAAAGGGCTCGGGAAGCTTTCGCTCCCCATTCCCTAATTTCTTTAATTCAATATATAACGTTTCTTCTAATCAAAATGTTGTCATTTGTCATTTTCAACCCTATCTCGATTCGTTTATAATCAAATATTGTTTTTCAAATTTATTCAAAAAAATTACTTGTTACCACCCAAAAAATTTCTACAATCATTTATTTAACTTCTCAAGTAATAAAACAAAAGAAGAAAGAGAGAAATTAAAAAAAAAAAAAAAGATGTTATTTATAATTCCATGTAGCATAAAAGGTAGACCGCTAGTGTGTGTGTATATATATATAATAATAAACAAATTAAATGGGAGTTGGCTTGAGAAAGTTTATTTCTTTTCTTAAAAAAATCTTATAAAATATTGATTTACTAATTATTGCTTATGTCTGAAGGTACAAAATAATAAAAAATGGTAAACAATAATTTATTTATATTCATATTCAAAAATCAAAAATCAAATATCAAATATCAAACATAGATAATAAATAAAGGAATTTAAGTATCGATTTGTAGTGAGGGTGATAGATGGTGAGCGACAGTAGTGATGGTAGGAGACAATGATGATTGTGGTGGGTGACAATGATCGTGGTGGTGGCAATGGTGGTAGTGGCGACGACAACGACGATGGTGGTGGTGGCGGGGGTGGTGATGGTGATGGTGAGATGGGGGTGTCAATGGTGGTTGTAGCGGTGATGGGGTGGGGGTTGGCGGTACTGGTGGCGGCGACGACAGTGGTGGTGCTGGTGGTGGTGGCGATGGTGATGGGGGTGCGGGTGGCAGTGATGGTGGTGGTGGGGGATGGCGGCGGTGGTGTAACGCCCCTAAAACTGGGGGTCTTTTTTCAATCGTTGACAGCCCGCAGAAGTACCCGTGATCGTCGTACAATCCAACATCACGTCAATAACATTCCCCTTTAACTAGGATTATAAGTCACACGTGTAACCCGTGTATATTTTATCATTTAATCAAATCATGGTTTAACGTACCACATTTCATATTTCATTATAATCCATTTATATCCTTGAAACCAAAGAACCCATAGCCCAAAACCTTGGCGAATAAATTTTAAAATTTCAAAATTTTGGAAAGAATACCAGTACAGCGTACCGGTACTGTGAACCTTCTGAAAAATCCGTATTGGTACGGCATACCAGTACGCTCTACCTTGTGAACAAGACTGTACCGGTACGGTTAACCCACTGAAAAATCTATCCCAGTAGGGGTGGTCAGTGGACCTTGTTGTATCGGTACTCAGTACAGGTACGCTTTGCCCACTTTTGCTTATTTCATCTGCTTTTCATTTTCAACTCATTTCTAAGCATATTATTTTCATCCAACTCATGTATAATGAAGATTTTCATGTAATACAAGGTCGATACAAGTTCTATTACATTCAATTCAATGTATTTACATACCAAAATAGAATTTTATAATTGTTTTACAAAATTCAAAATAAAGCCACATTCCGGCTTTCTTCACTCTTGGGGTCCTGTGTGAGGGTCTTCCACAGATGTATATCTCACACCTGAAATATTTTTTCGTATAGGGTGAACTACGCCCAGTAGAGTATTTCCTACCGAGGTTATTTCTCAACCTAAGTACATATGAATGTTCATACAACACTTAACAAACAACAACATCCCAACAAGAATATATTATTAAATGTTGAAATCTTAGAAGTGTCATGTCATGAAATGAGATGAGATTCACTTATGCAATTCAACCCGAGCCCATCCCTAGCTCTTTTCCCCCATGTATGTCATGAGTATAAAAATCGGCTTTCTCAGCCCCACCATTGGCGCTACACACCAAATGACTATTTAAAAAAATTCTGGGTCTTTCTTGGGGTGGGTATTTATAAACTTACACCAACGGCACCTAGCCGAAACGAAATTCATGGACATCAACCAATGGTTTCGAGTACACCGACATACTTTATAGGCTCTTATCCAACGGAGTGCGTATCCGATTACCAGATATCTCACCCGAGGGATAGTCTAACTCTTTTTGGTAACTCCGACCTAATTCTTTATCCATACCACCATATGACTCAGTCGGATCTTCGATCCACTACTATCCCGAACCCACTCATCATCCACTAATTAGGTGTTTGATATCAACCATGCACACATACACACACACACCCACACTCATGACTTTGGATGTGGTTCCTCCATGCAAATGCAATATAATGCACCATTATTATTTCAATGTCATGCCCTCTATGTAAAGAATGCCACATGAGTAAAATTAACCACATTTAAACATATTTCATGACAATTTATATTCAAAGTATATAATTACCAATTTCATCATAATGTTGATATATCTATAAGCATAAATCAACATTTTTATATCCAACCATACATCACAAGCATGTTATTACATATTATATGTCAATAACATACTCTCTTCACAAGGCATAATAAAAGCACATAGCATGCCCACATAACACTAATTTCTATGGAATTACACAAGTAACTATCACATACCAATTCCATGTGTAGGAATTTATTTTAAACTATTTTATACCTATTTTCATACCCATTTCATCAATTTCACAAACATAGGTAAATGATATAAGTTTTTTATCAAACTACTCATTTCATATAAACACCCTAGATTGTAAAATAAATCCAAGTAGGAAGGAACCATACCTCTTGAAGTGTAAAGAACACATAGAAAACCCTCAAGAACTTCAATCAAACTCAAACCCCTGATTTCCTCAAGCCCCGTTTTTGGAACTTCTGTAAAGTCTTCGATTTTTGGTAGGTAGGCGTAACCCTTGACGAGAAGAATGACTTTCCCTCTTGGCCTAAACGGATTCGACCATTAGAATTTCGTAGATCGTAGAGAGAAGTGGTGAAACTCTCTCTTTCCCTCTCTTCTTTTCTCACGTTGAAATCGGCTAAAGAATGGAAAGAAATCTGATATTTCTCCCCTTTTTATACCCTCAAATACTTGGCTCACAAACGCACCACAATTCCTCTTTTTTTTGGGTGTGTTTTTCGTCCCAAAAATGATTAAATTTCGCCCCGGTTCAAGTTCAAATATTTTTATTTTAACTTGACTTTAATTATTTTCTAACTTTCGAATTTTTATTAAAAATTTCATTTTTTAGGTCACCCGAGACTCGACCCACCTCAGAAGCAAAAACTCGACTACCTTGA